TATATACCCTACTATTATTAATTTTATTTTTTTGTATGAGAGTTAGCATGCCTGCATAAAATCCAGTCTTTGAAGAGGAGTAAAAGCATTTGCTATTCAGTTTATTGATTTGTATATCCCCCAGTGTTCCTCATTCAGGACTTGGATCTTGAATCTTACATTTGTGTTCTTCCTTTTTAAATGAGCACGTCATTGGGGTGTTTTACTATGGTCACAGCAATAGGGAACTCAATTAAGGGAACAAACTCTTTCTGCACTTAAGAGTATGTGCTACTGCCATATGAAATAGAGCTACACTGTGATACAGAGAGTCCAGCTGAGTGGTGCATACTTATTTTTACTGTAGTATGTACAGACCCCAGTGGCCCTGCTGGCTGTCCCATTGTCCCACTGCAGTATCACCAGCGTCAGGTATGTTTAAGCTCTGCTTTCTGCTGTCCTGCTTATCTGACAAGCTTTGTAATCTTTGTTGAGTTTCTCTGGCAGTAGTTATGCTGCTAGTACTGCACGTGCTGTTGAACACTAAATTACTTTTCAGTGTGCTCTGTGGTGGCAGGACTGACTCTGGTTGAGATGTTGGTGTGGTGCAATGTGTGCACAGCAGCTGAAGTAGCTCTGGCAACAGGACTTGCCAATATTTGTTCTGTGATCAGTGATGATTGAACATTTTGCCACAAATTTAATACTTTCCACTGCTGCTAATATTATTTCAGTAGCCTTCCCTTGTTTTAAAAATGAGGTGTAACACTGAATCCTGGCTGTACAGAAACATTTTAAAGAAGCAGTTACTGCCACGGAGCTGATTTCCAACGGGTGGGATATACATCCTGTGAACCATCCATATGCTTAGAGCCACTGCAGCAAGACTGTAAAAAACACAAAGGTGTGAATGTCAAATTTATTTCTTCTCACATGAATTCCCTGCTGTCATTTAATCATGAAAGGTTCATTCAGAATGCGGAAAATGTACCTCACAGTTCCTACAGAAGAAGAGACAAGTTTTTTAGTACCAAGGAAGGAACTCTGCTTTCTCAGCAAAGTACACAACACAAGCCTCAGACATGAAAATGAGGGAAATGTTACTTATCAGAAGGAAATCTGTTTCAAATAAAACATCTGGGAGGTGAATACAATGTTTGAGAAAATAATGTGCTAAGCTATTATGAGAGTAACAGAGTTGCTCACTCTTTAGCTGAAAAGTTAAGGGGTTTATTTTTGAAGCAGACCTTCAGTAATATATATGAAGACTGCTTTAATCAAGCAGTTTCTGACCTTTGTCTTCTTATTACTTAAATTCTAAGTTGAACATTTAAATTTGGCAGAGGTCACACTAGTTTGAAAGAGTGTAACAGTTGCCACATAGTAGGAGAGTTAATAACTGGAGAGAGTGGATAATTTATGGAGTACTTTTATTCAGTTTTTTGATGAATTCAGATTTTTCTCTACCTACTTTGCATGGATAAACTTGTCACATCTATATGTAAAAATAGTTATTAAACCTCCATTAAACACTTCCATGCATCGTAAATTATATCAGTATTTAATATTTCTCTTACACAAAAACAGTAAATACTTTCTACACTTTAGAAGGTACTGCCTTCAGATGGTACTGCCTTCTCAAAGGTAGATGATGGAGGACAGTATGAGACAAATCATTAGTCATACCATGTGTGGTTTCCTTATCCAATTGGAAATAAAATATTTTGAGTGGTAAAATGGAAAAAGAGGGGGTTTGTTGCATAAAGTTCACAACATTGCATTAGGATGACCATGAATGGAAGACTTAAGAAGTTACCTGCAGTGAGCTGTGGGTTTATGATGTGTGGTACTGATTATGTTGTTACCCAGCTGATCTAAGGTTTTGAAGGCAAGGAGAGATTTGAAGAGAGCTTGTAAGCTTGAAGGCTAGTCTTTTTTTCTTTCAAATGTCAATTGATCTGATTTTCCTTTACCTATAATCTTGTTTTTATTTCTATGGTAAGTATAAATTGGATGTTCAAACATGCAAGAAGACATGGGCAAAACAAAATCTTGAGTTTCAAGAAGCAGAGTCTGTTCTGTTGCTGAATGTGTTTAAATAAAAGTCACAGAAGTTCAGTTCTCTCTGCTACAGAGAAAGGAGAAAACAGGCAAGTTCCCCATCTCCTCTTTCACTGAATTACAGTTCAGCAGAGAATTTTGCCCTCTAGCTTAGGTCTGTCCTTGCCTGTTTTGTCCTCAGTATTAGAGTATACGTTATATGAAACTTAAAGCATAGACTTATGCACAGTGGCTTCTGGCATACATACATCTGGCCTGCAGAAAATTAAATATAGATAATCTGTTGCTTACAAGTGTTGGAATGGGTGAACCTTCTATGAACCTCAGCATTCATACTACGTACACAAATCTATGGGATTGGATGGGATCCACCCAAAGGTACTGAGGGAGCTGGTGGAAGTGCTCATAGAGCCGCTTTCCATCATTTCCATCATTTGTCAGGAGTCCAGGCTAACCAGGGAGGTCCCAGTTGACAGGAGGTTTGCAAAGGTGGCATCCTCCAGAAGGAGCATGCGGAGAACTACAGGCCTATCAGTCTGACCTTGGTGCTGGGGAAGGTTATGGAGCAGATCATTCTGAGTGTTGTCATGGGGCACATACCAGAAGATCACCAGAAGATCTGGACAACCAGAAGATCAGGCTCAGTCAGCATGGGATCATGAAAGGTAGGTCTGCCTAAGCACATCTATTTCTATGGCAAGGTGACCCGCTTAGTGGATAAGGGAAAGGCTGTGGATGTTGTTTACCTGGACTTTACTAAAGCCTTTTATACAGTTTTCCCACAGCAATTCCTGGAGAAACTGGCTGCCCATGGCTTGGATGGGAGTATTCTCCACTGGGTAGGAAACTGGCTGGAGGCCCAGACCCAAAGAGTTGTGGTAAATGGAGCTAAATCCAGTTGGTGCTCAGTCACAAGTGGTGTTCCCCAGGGCTGAGTACTGAGGCCAGTTCTCTTTAATACCCTGATCAATGATCTGGACGAGGGGATCGAGTGAGGAAACTGGCTGGAGGCCCAGACCCAAAGAGTTGTGGTAAATGGAGCTAAATCCAGTTGGTGCTCAGTCACAAGTGGTGTTCCCCAGGGCTGAGTACTGAGGCCAGTTCTCTTTAATACCCTGATCAATGATCTGGACGAGGGGATCGAGTGCACTCTCAGTCAGTTTGCAGACGGCACCAAGTTGGGAGGGACTGTTGATCTGCTGGAGGCTCCACAGAGGGATCTGGACAGGCTGGATCGATGGGCCGAGACCAATGGGATGAGGTTCAACAAGGCCAAGTGCCGGGTCCTGCCCTTGGGTCACAACAACCCCAGGCAGCGCTACAGGCTTGGGGAAGAGTGGCTGGAAAGATGCCTGGCAGAAAAGGACCTGGGTGTATTGGTGGACAGCTGGCTCAATATGAGCCAGCAGTGTGCCCAGGTGGCCAAGGAGGCCAACAGCATCCTGGCTTGTATCAGGAACGGTGTGGTGACAAGGAGTAAGAAAGTGATTGTCTTGCTGTACTGAGCAATGGTGAGGCTGCACCTCAAATACTGTGTCCAGTTGTGGGCCCTTCACTGCAAGAAAGACATTGAGGCTGGATCATTTCCAGAGAAGGGCAACGAAGCTGGTGAGGGGTCTGGAGAGTAAGTCTTATGAGAAGAGACTGAGGGAGCTGGGGTTGTTTGTAGAAAAGGAGCTGAGGGGAGAGCTTATCGCTCTCTACAACTATCTGAAAGGAGGTTGTACGGAGGCGGGGGTAGGTCTCCTTTTCCAAGTAACGGGTGATAGGACAAGAGGAAATGGCCTCAAGTTGCACCAGGAGAGGTTTAGGATGGCTATTAGGAAAAATTTCTTCACCTAAAGCGTTGCCAAGCAATGGAACAGACTGCCCAGGGAAGTGGTGGAATCACCATCCCTGGAGGTGTTAAAAAGGTGTGTAGACGTGGTGCTTAGGGACATGGTTTATTGGTGTTTTTGTCAGTGTTAGCTTGGTGGTTGGACTCGATGATCTGGGAGGTCTCTTCCAACCTAGACAATTCTGTGATTCTATAATTAACTTAGGTGCAGATATGCCTACATTTCAGATACATTTCAGATAGCGGGTCAGGAGCTATTGTTGCCTCCAAAGTAAATGCTTAACTTGCCCTAATTAATCTGGAGGAAAGCAATTGCATTTGAGAATACCAGCAGTTTATTCAGTTGAAGTCAGGTGTCTGCCTCCCTGCATTGTATGGAGCAAGAGCCGTAAAATGCCAGAGCTAAATTTGCTTGTGACCTAATGAGTCCACCTTTTTTGTCAGTAGGCACACAACGAGGCAGAGATGGCTCTCATGCGAATCAATATTGTTGGCAACAATGCTTCCTTATGTTTGTGTAAGGATTTCTTCATTTGAAGCAATGCTCAGCGGGTAGAAGATGGAACAGGTAGGGAGAAGTGGAAGAACTGCAGATTCTACAGGCCGATTTGTTGGCTTAAGGCCTAAGCAGGAAGGTTTTTCTCCTTTCTACTTTCGAGGTGCATGCCTAGTTGTTTCCAGATGTTTCCCTGAAGGTAAAGTAGTACATGGCATAGACAAAGCACAAGCTCTTATTGTATGCTGTAAATGTGTAATATTGAAATGCACCTCTTGGTGGTATACTATGTGTTGAGTGTTTTGGTACAAAGATCTGTCACTCCTCCTGTCTCAGGTCACTGAGAAATGAGAGTAGATGTATTATGATTTCTCATACAACAGTGAGGTGCTCCTGGGCTAGTAACTGTTCCATTTCCATGTACTCTGAAATCTTGTTCTGGTGGTTTGGACAAGGAAGCTTTCACAGGGAAATATTTTAACTGCCTGTGAACATGAGGATGTACTAGTATTTTGAAACAACTTATTGATGTTTTACTTCACAGAATATGCACATGTATTTCTTCTCTAGTATGTGGGAGAAATAAGCCAAAAAATAATCAATTAAGAGTTTTATTTATAGTTCAGTATTCTTTTGACAACGAAATTTCCTCAAGACAATGTAGACACCTGTAAAAGTCATTATATAAAGATGTAAAGAATAAGGTAAGAATATACAGTTAAATATTCCGATATGTAAATATTACGCTTAGAGGTCAGTGTTGCAGGTCAACTAGAGTAGTCAGAGACATCTCAAGAAAATGTCATTAAATAAGTTCCACTGAATCCATCTTATATTTTTTTTTCTTCCTTAGATTCACAACATATAACTGTGCCTAAAATATTAGTAATTCACATAGATTGCAGTAGACATAATAATCAGGTTTTGTATCACTAACTTACAAAATATTTGATTTATGTGTTCATTGGAGCTTCAAACTGGAGTACATGTACTCATAATAAGACAGCAATACTTGTTTTATCACAGAGACAAGATGTTCATACAGCTCTTCTTCTGTAAGAAGATATTTGTTCTTTCCGTTGGAAAGAATCTTACAGGGAATTAAACTGTTTCTTTTTCATTATGCAAATTACTTGCCCAGGCATCTTGCTCCAAAACAAATGCTTTTCACATGGAACACGTTTTTCCAGGATAGCTATTTTTACAGTAGTAGTTTAGAGAAACAGTGATCTGTACAATCGAGCATTATAGACCTTACAGAGGTCTCAGGTTTGTACATTAATACAAAGTTTTAAGACCTAGAAGTATTAGTTCATTAGCATTTAGTCCTCTTCAGCATCACGCCTGAAATAGGTTATATCAGAATGGTTCAAATGGCAAATGCTGTAAAATTAGGCCAGTGTTTCTATGTAATGTGAAACACCATTTTCCTTAAAGTTGATTTTAGTTATGAACACTGTTTCTGTATCTTTTTTCACAGAGGTACACAGAGAAAGATGCTGATTGTAGCCGCTTTTTTACTATACGCAATAGTACAAGTACCTGGCTGGTTTTTATGTTACATATTATTTTCCCCTCTATGAACCAAATTTACATAGATAAACAGATGATATATTGCACAACATTGTATAGGAGGTATTTTCTATGTGGATATCTATTCAAAACATTTTTATGCATTACATTCTTTTGGGTGTTTTCTCTCCAAAATCCATAAGTCTAAATATGAAACTATCTAATAAATTAGTTATATAAATACACTCAATATAAAACCTCATTTATAAAAAGCATTTTGTCTCAGTTTGTATACATGATATGTAAGAGAAAGTTGTGTCAATAGTTGCCACAACATAGTACTGGAGTAGTAGGTGCATATCCAGTTTGTGAAGGAAAAAAAAAAAAGTGGTGTCCTTGATTCTGTGTTCAAATAAAACTATTTTTACATGCATTTAAATAAATTAATTAGGAAATAGACACACAAGATCACTTTCACAGATCAGAAGCTTGGTCTGAGTTTATATCGTCATTCAGCTTTCTGATCTGGCATGATTTAGATTCCTGATATCCCAGTTTAAAACAGTTGGGAAGATCTTGACTGTAAGAACAAGTAAAGATTGGAATTCATTTGTAGCTATTTATATTGCTACAGGTTTTTATAGTCAGCTCCTTATATTCAATATAGATTTTTCTCTTTATTTTTCAGGTAGTATTTAACTGGTGTCCTGTAAATCCTCCTGGTGTAGAGAAAAATCCATTTGGTTGCTTACATCATCATGCAGTATTTATAAAATGTGCATTCAGAAAAATGTTCAGTGTCTTTTCTGTGTGGGTGAACAGGGAGAATCTTGTATTCAAAGTGTGCAAATGCTAGTAGCAAGGGAGGTAAGTGGAGAAAAGTTTTCCAAAACAAGTTGCTCTTGTTGTAGCATGCTTACTTTAATAAAGTAATTATGACGTTATCATCCCTTCCTTGCCACAACATTTCTCCCTCGAAGTCCACCAGCCCGTGTTTCCTGGCTCTCATGAGAATCCCAACAACCTTATCTGAAATACGAACGTATCTGTCGAAGAGTTCCCCAAAAGTGACCTGGATCTTGCCGTCGGGCCGTGGCTTAGCCATTGATTCAATGATGAAGCACATGTCCCTGATCTCCCGGTGGATGTGGGCCTCGGCTCTCTTGGCTCTTTCGGCAGTTTTGGTTCCTTCTTTGGGACGACCATAGCCTTCATCTCCCTTGTGCAGGCGCGTGGACATGGCCAGCTCATGGTCAAATTCCTCGCTGAAGGGATTCAGCTTCTGTGTTATGATGTGGTGGTCGGCCCATTCTTGCCATCTGTCCTTCAGGCTGTTAACGGGGCTGTATTTCCTGTGGGCTTTGGTGCTGGCTTCTTCGCTGAACCTGCTTGCGCTGCAGGAAAAAAAAAAGGGCGTTTGAGCTTGGCATTTCATCATTTAATGTCACAGTTCTACTACTAATCTCTCTTACTAACTCGTTACCATGTTTCTCCAGACGAGGTGTTAACCACCAGGTGGCGTGAGTTCACCACTTCTAAGCTAGTTTTTTGGGGGCTTTTAGTTCATGTTCCAGTTCGCACTCAAAAGCAAATTTGCAGATCGCAGCTTGATGTCATCTACATCACCACTCACCAGCCAAGATTTGAGCCTATTTTGACAAACTCTTGCTCAGAATGACTTAATGCTGTAGGGGAGTGAAATGGTATGTTGCTGATTACTTCTGCTTTCTATACCTCTGGTCAGTGACACAGCTCCCCGTTTCTAGAGCCTGAAATCTGCCTGCCCTGATGCTACAGATGAAAATAACTATAAGTATGTAGACTGGGTCCTCACCTGTTCTTGACTGAAAAGCAGAAGGTAATGTCTATAAAAATCTGTCCCTGTAATAGACATAGATGTTTAAAACAACAACAAAAATATAGTGCAGTAGCTCTGCCTGCGCTTATATGTTTGTAAGTACAGTTCTGAGCAAGTATTGAAGTCCAAAATTCACATTCCCACTGGCAGGGTACAAGCCTGAAAGAAACTTAGGGCTACTCAGATTTGTGTTAAGACCAAAGGATGAGGAAAGACCTTAAGAGGTCTTATTGATTTTTTTGTGTGTGTGTCTGCATAGCAACATCATATTGCTGGATGACTACAGGCAGACAAATTGTTGATCCTTTTTCCTCTAGTGGCCAATCTCACGCGTTGTGGGGAGCTATAGATAGTCTGAGCTAGTCTTTGTGCTGTCCACATCCTGTCATTGTGTCGGAACAGAGCTCGGCTAGGGAGTATGTTGAGCTGTGGCTGTGCCAAAGCAATTTGTTTTCTAATATTTTTACTCCCCAGAAGGCTGCTCTGAAACCTCCCCAGTAACATCAGCTGAATATTAACAGTAACGCCAGAGAACTGAAATGCAGTCAGTAAAACAGTACAGAGGACTGCAAACCTGCAGAATATTTTGTTTCCTTGCTGTTTGGGCATTTCTTTGTTTTCTACTAAGCTTGGTGAAAGAGAGAATAGGAATGGCAGAGATGTCCCCAGTTCAGGTCTGTGTACCAGAAGGATGCCAGTACTGGGTTATGCTCTAGTGTTAGAGCAAGAAATGCAGACACTTAGTGCTGGGGACAGAAGGAGGAGTAGGAGAGCAGGACTGCTCTTTTAGTCCAAAATAAAGATTATGAGCATTAACCCACTGTAAGAAGTGCTTTACCTGTAACAGTCAAATAAGTTAACCTGTTAACCAAAATGATCACCATAAATGCATTCTGAACTTCTAGGAGGACAGTGTCCGTGTTCCCTGGTGATCCTTTCTGCAGAGGAAGAGTATGGATCCCTTTTAATGTTTTGAGTTTCATATTACTAGTGCACCCCTTTGGCTCCTAAGCAGGAACAAAACAGTATTTCCTAGGCCTGTAGGCAGTAACGTGCCTTTTGCTAAGGAAACAACTTTATTCCAGTTTAAATTGCAGCCAGAAATGATGAAGGTGCTGATGCAAGACAAAATAAAAACCCTGGTGCTGACGCTTTTTCCTTGGAATATAGAGAGCAAAATGAGAGATTTGCTTTAACAGCTGCATACTTATGGCCTTTTTGAAGAAGATTAAACCACACTGACAGGTTCATAAAAGTACCTGGCTGAAATAATTTATTCTGAGGCTATAAAATACATTAAAAAAAATCAGTAGTTAAAAAATCCAGTCCTGATAACAGCAGTGTAAATGCAGAAAATGGCTTTTGTGTCAGATTTCAGTGGAGAGAGAGCTGTAAGTAACATAGAGGGTGTTATTTCAATCATTTGCATCTCAGTAAACATGGCTAATCATTTTTTTTTCCCAGGCAGCAGCACTGAAATTATGCATATGGGGAAAATAATATATTAAAAGGTTGTTAGTAGTGAGGTATAAAACCCGAGCAGTAGGAATGGTACAGCTCGCCTGCCTGTCTGCAGAGGGAGCAAGAAGCTTTTTGGCATTTTCATCAGTGCTATCACAGTTTTTCATTTCTGAAATGGCGATTAGGATATGGTATGAACACACTGGCCCTGATCCTCTGGCTCCTGCTGCCTTGCTCATCCTTTACACACAAGCTAATTGGATGGATAGAAGCCCTGCCTTCTTGTCCGATTGCCCCGTGCTCAGCTTGCACTCACATTGTGGATGCAGAGTAGAAGCACTGGAGACTCAGGCCCCACCATGGGATGGCTTCTGTTAGGAACCCATGTCCTGGTGCCAGTCTCTTCCCTCCCTGTGGGCTTGGGCAGACAAGCTCTGCCGAACCCTTCCTTGGTCCAGGTTTCACCTCCAGCTGTCACCTCCACCTGTCCTCCCTGCCCAGCGAAGCCCATGGGCAGCACATGTGCTGCACCTTGGCCTCTGCTTGGTGCACCCTGGCCTCATCACAATTTTACAGCTAGATGTGAGGTTTTATACCAAAACAGTTCAGGATCAACCGTGTGTTCCTTTCTGCTGTCTGTGTTCTGGGGAATTACCAAGTTTGTAAAACAGAGAACAGGAGCAAGCAGCGTGTTGTGTCTGTAACAGCTGCCTACAGTTCTCAACTTGCAGCATTGGACATACGGGTCTTTTAATCTTTTACTGAAAAAAGAGTGATGAATTAGTTTGGCAAGTCTGCCTACAGCACAACTGTTTGTAGCTGTCTTCTGGAAAGGCTGTTCTGAGATCCCTAGGAAAGGAAACTAGAGAATTTCTACCAGCCTCGGCTGGTCCTTTGCTCTTCTGGAGACTTCCCGAGGACTGCATGGCTATGGCTGAGCTCTACTTGTTTACTACCTGGGCTCCAAACTTAATATGCACCTGCTGTTGTGCAGTAATCTTCAAGCACAAGCCTCTTACTGGGAGAAGTATTACTCAAAACTGTCTGAAGCTATCAATTTGCTACTTAATTCAGATTTTTAAGTAGAACCCATAGTAACTCCACAGATTCTGCTTCCTTTTTTCCTCACACTATTTACAGGCATAAGGAACTCTGTATGCCAGGAACTTCTACTTCCACAACATATTCCATGAACGTACTTCCCCCTCCCCGCCCCTTCCAATAGTGTACCCAAAGAGAGACCTTGAATTTGAAGAATCTATTGGTGATTCAAATGTTCTTTTTTTGTCAAATTATTGATAACTTACAGCATGATTCAAATCAATCCTGCAAATGTTGAGGCAGGCTCAATGCTTTCTACTGTATTTTTGGGGACCCAAAAAGTGAAACTTTCCATTCTTTGGCTTGTTGAATTCCAAATCCATGGAAAGCTTCCAAAGAGAAGCAGTGAACCCAGCTTTTGTTAAGATGTACTTAAAAATAATTCCTATAATGTCTAGTTTGAACATTCTCTGCAAATTACTCCCAAGAACATTTACAAATGATGAGTAAGTATTTGGGAATATTATTTGACAAATATATTGCTTTGGACTTAACATTTGCTGAAATAAATGAATAGCTGTGGGCTTTTGATCAGGTAAAAATTACTGTTCTGAAATACGGACTAAAGTATTAAGAAGTAGGTAGTGATTTCATTGAACCAGTAAATCTAGTGTGATAATTAAATGTAATTAACATTTCCCAACTACAACTTCCTGTGTCTATTATGTATATAGCACATAAAACCCAAGGCTATTGTCAGATGTTGTTGACTAACTGCTTAAGCACAGAGAGATATATGAAAGGTTTCCTGGATTATTTTTTTTTTTTCCTTTTCATCAAAAGCAGTAGTTTCTCTTTGATGATTTTCTACCATTCCCTCCCCTCTCGACCTCCTGCCCCGCCATCTTCCTCATGGAAACCTGTACCTCTCCCAGGGTCTGCTGAACATTTGTGATAACATAATAAAGAAGTTTTACTTACAAAGATGGTACAGGTCGTTTAATCCTCACAGCCGTCACCTCTCTGTCACTGTCTTCTTGCTCGAGTTTGTCCTCTGCTTCCCCATAGCCACTGTCCTCTGCATCCAGGCTGTCATCGTGACACTTAAGCAGCAGCTCTTCCTTAGCCCCCTCCTTGTCCTCTTGTTCTATCTGTTTCCAGCCCTTGGTCAGCTCTGATACCACATTTGAACACTTTCTCCTTATGGTTGGAGATAATTTACCACTCAAAATTTTGTCAATTGCACTTGATTCTTCTTTGAGCTTGGTCATCTCTGAGCTACTATTGTTATTCTCGTATCTTTCACTGAGGAGGCTAACATCACCTCCCCGTTCGTAGGCTTTGCTTACAACTGTTTTGGTCACTTCTTTGCTTTTAATGTTGAACTTTTTGAGGGCTTCATCTGATTCCCTTGAATTTTTTTCAGCATCTCTTATTGTCACTGATTCTTCTGCTGAGGATTTTTCATCATCTTTTCCTTGGTCCTTTTTGATAGACTGAATTTGCCATTTTTCAAAGGATCTTTCTTGCACAGGCTGAGTTGATGAGCCTTCTTCAGGGGGTACCCATCCAGAGGGCTCTTGGGCTTGCTTTACATGGTGGTCAGATGCCCACTGTTGCCACCCTCGTGCCAAGCTGACGACTAGGCTGGCCATTCTGATCTTGTGGACAGCCCTTTTTGTAGAAGGAGTAGTGCTCAGTTTCTCTTCAGGAGCCATGTTGCTGTCTGCTGCCATGCTAGCTTTTCCTCTTCTTATGCTAAGCACCTTCTGAATGAACTTCCTGAAGTGAATAATGTCCCACGAAGAGAGCTACAGAGATTTAAATAGAAGCAGGAGCAGTTTGTGACCATGGAAAATATGTGAAACACTTCTCTCAAAGATATAGTATCCTCACTGCTACAGAGCTCTTTTTTTAAAACACGGGGTTGCATTTCATCACAGCAGATGAATGATGCATGATGTAAAGAGGGTGACACAGACCTGCACTGGACATAGTGGGAAATTAACAGCTCCTTTCATCCCCCATCCCTGGGACTGCTGTTCTCAATTTGTTGGCAAGGGTCTTGTTCTTCTTGAAGTGCAAAACTTGGGTTAGGGATGCTAACTGAATGTCTGAAACTGCTAAATGTGAAGTGCTGTCAGTTGCTGACAACTTTGGCCAGAGCAGAGACCCCTCATCATCACGTGTAAATAGCGGCCCTTGTCATGGAGTGTAAAGCCAGAAGCAGGCTATGAATGAGGAGTTTTTAGATGCATTTTCTAAAAAGATACTAGGTGATTTCTTTTTATTGCTCATATGTCCAAGGAAATCCAAGTTTGTTAATTTTTTAAAAGGTATTTATGTGCTCAGTTCTCAGTCATTATCTATTAATGTCCATCTATTTAGAATGTACCTTTGGGGGGTGAGAACATTACCGTGTCCAGTGTCGGCAATAAGAAGAAGGGAATCACTATCTCTAGCCCGAGAATTTAATATAATAAGTCTGACTTGATCAGATGAATGAGTGATCTCTGAGCCTTAGGATTTTGAAAAAATCAAGCATAGCCTGTTTCATTCCTTACAGCTTTTTCAAGGAAGTTGTATATAAAACCTAGTGCTTACTTGTGTATTATTTACAGAATAATATGTATAGTAGAGAAAAAAAAAATCACGTTTTCTAGGAAATTTGTGATTTCTTTGTTCTAGAGGACTTTCTAGAGGGTGTCCATATTTGGATTTGTAAATCGTTTAGTGAATTGATACATCAGTTATTACATAATAATAAACAGACATTATTATTTGAGATACAGTCCTGTGGTATCTTATTTCTTAGTATAATGTTTCCTAAATAGGAAGGGAAAATGGCATTGATTTTTCCATCCATCATACCTTGCAGCTTACAGGATGACCTGTGGCACTTGCCATGTGGCTCTCTGAGGCACACTGAACTTCCAGCAATTCTGTTGGCTTTGTTGGTGTTACACCAGTGATAAATATGGACCCTGCCTGTTTCTCTCCTCTCTATTAAAGGCTGGGCTGTTTGAAGTAGGTTAGATCATATCTAGCCCTTGCTTAATAATATAAGACTATATCATACCTTTGACTTCTAGGCAGAATTCCTCATTAATCTGTGGTGTCATTTCCACTTCAAAACTGATGACATAATGTAAGTTAGTGTTGCTATTTGATATTTACTCATACTTTTATTTTAGAAAGAAATGTGTCACCTCTGTATACTGTACAATCTCAGCTATTACCAGCTGCATCATAACCATGAAATGGCATTGTGAGGTGTACTGATGCAATTTGATTAACAAGCATGTGTTACCAAACATTTATTTTGGTGGCTTTTTAAGGCTAAGCAGGAATGGGAGCTTCTAGTGTTTAAAAAGCGCTCGTGCACATGCATGCGTGCTCACAGGGTGGTGCATGTTCCCTAATACATGAGAAAGGTGCAAGTGAAAAAAGAGAAGAGTCCTCATGAAGAGTAAGAGTATGAAACCAGCTTGTTACATCATTCCCTATGATTTCTTGAATATAACATTGGTTGAGGCTTTAGGAATGAGCTGGAAGCTAAATACAGAGGTAGGGTTGAGGCCAGTGAAACTCAAGTGAAAAGACTGTGGAAGGACAATCATAGAGAGTAAGAGTTCAGGTTCCTGTTTTACCTGTTCTTAAAGACTACCAGCAGTAGGTACTCCCCACTCTGGCTAGGCAATCTGCCTACTCCAGAGTTAACTGGCTTAAAGAAAACCTTTCTTGAGGTCTTACTTCCACCTTTGTCACAGCACTTTAACCATCTATCACTGTCAAAAACACCCTTTCTGAGGCAACCTCTCTGTGCTGAGACTGTTGTATTCCTCCTCAATCTTCTAAATGACTTCACTTCTTCCTATTTTTTCTTGGGTATTTGTGATCCCTGATCATGCTCTTGCCAGCTCTGGATTCCCTGCACTAGGTCTACATCTTCCTTCAGGTGTGATGCTCAAAATGGGGGTGGTATTCTGGTTTAAGCTTTCCCATACAGATTAAAAGGCACAGATATCTTGTATGTTGGCTCCTGGTTCACATTCTACTTGTAATCCCCAAAGTCTTGAAATACTTTCCTGCTAAATGGCTATCTGCATTCACAGACCTGGCTGTTCCTGCCTATGTGATCCCCTTTGTTGTTACTGAATTGTATTCTGATTTGTTCAGATAACTTTTTCAATTTCTTGTGAATTATTTGATTTTTAATCCCTGTTCCACTGGCCTTGCAACTTGATTCATATGTTGTAAATATATTGTTTATTCCACTTTTGGAATCACAAGTGAAAACAGCAGGTAAGTATAAAGTAGACCCAGTTAGCAAGTACATTCAGTTTGATGGAGAGCTATTGCTATTTATTTTCATGTGGTTTTCCAGATAATTTTGCATATGAGATCAAAATGAAAAAATTGACCAGTATCAAGATATGTAGCATCTGCTGCTCTTGGCCATCTGTGGGAGTTTGGACTAAATGACCTCTGGAGGTCCCTTCTAACCATTCTCTGTTTATGTGATCTTCCAAAGGCTGCTACATTGCTGTAAAAAGAATTAAGATTTTTCTAACATAATTTGTCAAATCAAAATTGCTTGTAATTGTCCTTGTTACAAAGACCTCTGCTAGGTTTATTACTGTAATTACTGTTAAGATTCTTGGGCACTTTTACTCTCTCATTCTCTTTGCAAGTATTTGTATTGAAGTTCATGGTACTAAAAAAGAATTACATTCCTGAGGAATGTTTGAAAACTACAGCACATTTCAAAGAACTTCTTAATAAAGAGACTCCTTTTTTTCTAATGGACTTGACCTTGGTGTACTGGTCATAGTCCCACAGACTTAATGCTTACATAATTTAGATAAATGACAACAAAAAGGTACAGACTAATGAAAAAACACCAAGATCGCAGCTCTAAATTACTATTAAATCCATGTTGCGTGACAATATATTAAACAAATGTTTCGTTTAAATTGGTCACTATTTAAAGCTGAATGCAGACTTGTCCAAAGTGCCTGTGAAACTTCAATGTAATTATTCTGTGGATACCTAAATTTATGATGCTTAATTTTAGAGCATACAAAGATGTTGCCTTGGAAGTGTTGAATAGTGTCTTATTTTATATGGTGATGTTACCAGCAAGAAGTTAATCATAAAAAAAAGTATAAATAATGTCTGAGTCATCCGGTCAGATTCACATTCTGAGGGCTGCTTACTTTATATGTTCTACTGCAGTAAGAGTAGAATTTATTACTTCATCTTTTTAAATTTTTATTCTTAGTGGAAGAATAGGCCAAGGCTATGCCTAAATTTCTGTGCCTCATCTCCCTGCTGGCACTTCTAAAAGACTACAGGCAGCCCTTAGGGCACGGGCTGAGCCTGGACCATATTTTCCGTGTGTCTTCCATACCTCATGATGCATGCTTTAATGCACAGCAAGCCTTGGTGAGGGTGACTGTCACAGACTTTCAGAAGTTCAAAACCTGTGCTTGAAGTCAGAGTTGCGGGACAACATATTACAGAAGATATACAGGAGGAATATCAATGGGAGAAAGTAAATAGATGAGTCGGCTTGAAACTTAGGTTGAAAGTTATAAACTCACCTTTCCTTGCCCCTGGCTGTGTACAATTCTCAGATTTAATCTCTTTGGCATCTTGAGGCAAATCTACTCAGGTTCCTAGGATGTTGATGCTGCTTTTGGATTGCTGCATTTCAGTTAATACCTCTGATTTCCTGAATCCAAAGTTATGAAGGACCACCTGAGAGGTTGCCATTGTCAGTGTTAATGGTCAGGTTTTTTGTTCTGGGGTTTTTTTTGTTCCCCCGGATGGATTGTTCTCTGTATAGTTATATACTATTTAGAAATCCTTTTATTTTCTCTCTTATGTTGTGGAATATTAACAGTCTCTGAGAGGCCAGTTTGTAATTAATTTTTTATTTCTTTTTTAGGATGCTTAATTTTAATAGCAGAACTGTATCCTTCATCCATTGCTTTACCTTGTCAGATATTGACGTCAGTTATTCAATATCTCTGATGCATTAAACAAAGAATTTCATTTTCAACCAATTGTAAGTGTATGAAAGATGCTGTCTTCCTCCTCAGAGTTAGTGGTGAATAACAAGAACAAGCTGTGTTTCACGGTAAAGTATAACCAGCTGCCATTATCAATAGGAACCTCAGGACTTAATTTCTTTTTCATCAAGACACTGTTAAAGTACTTTGTGTCAGAACACCATACGTTGCCAGTGACCACAGAAAACCTGGGCAAAGGGTTAGAGTTTTGGATTTCCTTATTTTTAGAGTTCATGTCAAACATATCACTTCTAACAATAATAATGAGCAACTGGGTCTCATTCAGTGTGCAGTCTCGTGTGCAATCCAGGTGACCGAATTCTAAGAAATGGACCAGCTTTTGGACTGGGTCCTCTCTCATCACTAACCGAAAGCAGTCTATGCATTCGTAGGTGCACTTTCTTGTGTTTGCTTCCTATATATAGCCATAGTGGTTTTTGCTGAAATTCTGTTGTGTTGAGCCCTGTGTGTACCCCTGTGTGACTAATGGGGAATCTGCATTTGATTTTAAGTCATTTCAGAATTCAACTATATGAGAGATCAGGGCTTATCCATGCCCTATCATGACAGCTCTGCTTTGTGAAGAAAATGTACCCAACAAACTTCCAAGCCAACCAGAGTCAGAACCAGGGTTGAAAGACTCTCAGTTATGGAAGGGTAGTGGGGGGAGAGGGAAGACACACCATCCAGTAACAG